CCGCGCTGCGGGGTGGTGTCGCCCCTTTGTCCGTGGCCGGTCGCCCCAGACCAACCCCCCTGACCGCCCACCGTAAGGATTCCCCCGACCGGGACCCTGCATGGTCGGCCTACCTCACCAATCGCCAGTCCCCGGCCCCCGAAGTCGGAACCTCAGACCCTTGGAGCCCCCTGGAGTTCCCCCTGACACTGCCTCCGGGCGGGAAACTGAGGCAGGAGAGCCACCGGGCACTTAAGGGCTAAAGGACTCTCGGGCTGCCCTGCGTCCTGGCTCCCCGCCTTCGCTCCTCCCGCCGGTCCCCACGTTGGCGACGGCAAGAGGCCGGGCCAGAGCCTCCGGGGCTGTCGCAGCAGTTACCGACCCCACCCCCTCCTCCCACCCCAGCTGGTTCCCAGCGGCCGACCTTCTTCAAGGTGCCCGCAGGCATCTCCTGGGCGATCTTGGTGCAGAGTGAAAGGGAACCGGAGGCGCAGTCTGGCTGCGGCCCAGCCCCGAGGCACCCAGGGTGCCTTGACCTTGGGCAAGTCCCCAGAGCTCCGGGAGATCCAACCAGAGACCCCCGCGCCCTGCTTCTGCTCCTTCTGCACGGCCCAGGGAGGCCGCCGGGGAGTGCACAATGCCAGCCTCCAGACCCCGGCCAGGGCCCTCTCCGCAGGGGACAGGTTCAGCCCCACCCCCGCCCCCGCCCCCTAAGGCAGGCAGCCCAGACGCTAGCAAAGATGGGAGGGAACACGAGCAAACAGTACGTGTGAGGTTTAAAAAACCACTAAAAGTCCAAATCACTCAAACTAAAACAATGATTCCACCTTCCACTACCCCCAACACACCCAGATTAGCAAAAATGTAAAAGATTGGCACCAGCCAGTGCCGGCTGTGGGTTGGGACGTGGGGAGACAGGCACTCACAACTGTGAACTGCTACATCTTTTTTGGAACGTTAATTTGGCAGCATCTATTGAAATTAAAAATGGCTGCACCCCATGACCCTGCGAGCCCGCTTCTAGGAATTCAGCCTGTAGAAAGGATCCAGCCTGTTGTCTTTGCAGATAGACAGGAAGAAGTACAGTGGGAAAAACAAGCACAGAAACCAACATGGATGGCACTCGATGCCCCTCCCTTGGGCACCTTGGGTGCTATCGGGGGTCAGCACCTTGGCCATGTGGTGGTTGTGGCCGATAGGGAGGCCTGTCCCCAGCGTGGAATATCATACAGCTATTTAAAAAGAGTGAACTGGCCTGGCTTGCGTGGCTCAGGGTTGGAGCCCCGCTTCATACACCAAAGAGGTGAGGGAGAGGGGGGTCACAAAAAGTGACTCGCAGCTTCTGTGGCTCCTGTCCATCACATGTAGTAACTCTGAGAATAAAGCAAGGAAGGAGGAACCCCTCATCTCGCTGTGTCTTTAACAAAGCCCTGCCAGGCCTGCACCGTGAGCGGGGCCGTCAGCAGGGTGCACGTTGCACCGCTGCCGCGGGTGGGGGGTGGGGGGAAGACAAGCAGCCAGCGAGCAGCCCCGGGAACAAAACACCAGATGGGAGGAGATGGGTGGGGCCGGAGCGGGGCAGCCCGAGGGAGCCCGTGAACTCGGGGAACGGCACATCCCTTCCCCGTCGCCTGTGCAGGCATCAGAGGGCCTGGAGTCTCGCTGGCTGGCCCTGGCTGTGCCTGTGGTGACCGCGGAGGGGACTCCTGGCTCTTCCCCGCCACCCCTCCTCGCCTTGGCATGCTTTGACCTGTTCCCAGTCAGCATTCTGGGTTTTCTTTCTTCCTTTTTTTTTTTAGGCCCATAAAACAAACCACTGTAAAAGGGCACATGGTCCAGGCTGGCTGGACGGCAGGTGTCCTTTAAGCCTGGAATTCCTGCGCTCTGTGCCCCCTGCAGCCCCTTCCCCCAATTTCAGAAATATCTGCAGCTGCCCTCCCCACCCCCAAAGGCCCAATGGGCTCAAGTTTCTGTTTCCAGAAACCAGAGCTGCTGGCTCCTGGAGGCTGACTTGACTTCCAGACCCCGGGGTGGGGGGGGGGGGGCACTCAGAGCTTCCTCTTTGTCCTCAGCCTCTGTGGCTCCTCAGAAGGCCACCCCTCCACCCCGACCCTCAGACCGCAGAGGGCCTGGCCACTTTGGGGGCTGGGAAGGCCCCCGCTGGAGAGGGAGGTCAAGGCCCGGGGCTGCCCTGCCTGCACCCTGGCCTCCTTGGCCTCCCGAGATGGGTGCTTTGGCCCCACTTTGCAAATGAGCAAAGGGAAGGTCAGAGGGTAGTGACGGGGCCAGATCAGAGGTCTGGCAGCCCCGCAGCGAACCTGGGCCCTGGAGTGGCTGGCCCTGCGATGGCCTGACCGGGTGCGCCCTGGGGACCCCTGGCTGGCCAAACCTGGGCTGGACTCAGGCAGACAGCGAGGGCTGTCGGCAGCTGTGATGAGGGAGGGGGCCTTTAGCCCCGAACGTCACGGTGAGGCCCCACCCCAGGCAGTGGCTGCATGGGAACTGGGGCGGCAGTCCCAGAGCCGGACGGGGCGGGGGGGCTGGAGGGGTGCTTCCAGCTGGCCCAGCTCTTGACTGTGGACCCTCCGCTCTGCCCAGGGCCCACAGAAGCCGGTTTGGTAGCGTCTAGGAGAGGAGCTAGGTGACATCACCTGGTGAGTTTACGGTCCTCAGAAATCACACCTGCCCTGGAGGGGGAGGGGAGCCTCAAAGGAGGCCTGGTCTTTCATCCACTGCTCAGCAGGGCCAGAGGAAGTGGGACAGGAGGCCACCCTCGGTGTCTGAGTGCAGCCAGAGCCCACATGCAGCTGATGCTTCCTCCTTCTGCCCTGTCCCTAAACTCTAGAGAATCCAGGGGAGAAGTTGGCCTGGGTTAGGCCGGGGGGCGGGGCGGGGAGGGACGGGGGCTGCCTTGGAGTCGCTGAGCACTCTGCTAGGCTGAGCTGGTCAGAGAGGAGGGTCCGCATGTCACCTGACTCCTGCCAGGGATGCAGGCAGAGCAGCCTCCCCTTGGGCATCCTCAGCTTCTCCTTTTCCTCCAGGGTGACCTTGACCATTTCCTCCTGCCTGTTCCCACCTTCCTTCAAATCTGCCATTAGTTCTCTGCAGCCAAGTTTACTGGTTGGTTGGTTGGTTGAAGATTTTATTATTTAGAGAGAGGGGGAAGGAAGAGAGGGAAAGAAACAAGGCCCACAAGCCAGGCATATGCTCTGACCGGGGATCGAACCAGTAACCTTTCAGTTTGCAGGACAACATCCAAGCCACTGAGACGCACCAGCCAGGACCAGGTTTACCGGATTTAAATCCCAGTTCAACTCTGGCCACATTGACCGAGTGACCTTAGGCAAGTTACTTAACTTCCCTGAGTCTCAGTTTCCCCACCTGTAAAGTGGTCCCTCATAGGGCTGTGGACAGGACTCCGTGAAGTGACACTCAGCTGGGCTTCCGTGGCATCAGCTCGCATTAGAGGAGTACTGATGCACACACTGCCCCGGGCAAGGTGCCAACCTGCCCTGGGGAATCACCTGGGGCCGGGGGGCGGGCGGGTGCGTGAGGACTCAGGCTGAGGGCTGGGGCAGGCTCAGAGGGAGCAGATGGGCAGCTCTGGGAAGGCTGCCTGGAGGAGGGGGCACTGGAGGAGCTGGTCAGCCAATGGCAGCCGAAGTGGCAAGTGGGAAGTTGGGAGCACAGGAAACCGCTGCTCAGTCAGGCAGTCCTAATTTAGGCTTTGTGGGCACCCCGCCTGGGCTCCACACCCCAGCTAAGTGGCTGGAGAAAGAGGAACCCTTCCCCACAGGAGAAGTGGAAAATCGAGATCTCTCAGGGGAGCGAGCAGGGAGTGATTCAGGCTGAGCATCACCAAGGGGGTGAAGCAGAGTCCCCTGGAACAGAGGTTGCAGAGCCGGGGATAGGGCTGGGTTGTCTCAAATGGTGGGAGCAGGAGGCAGGGAGGCCGTGATGCAGCCACGCAGGCAGCTGGTAGCTGGCCCCCAGGGACGTGAACGCATAAAGGGCGGGAGGCCACCAACGGCCCCTCAACTTCTTACCCTCCAGGACAGGGACATGCAGGGGCTGAGGCCAGGTACCTGGGTTTCCACCATGGACTGCGAGGGGCCCCTAGTAAGGGCCACAGGCCGACCAGTCCTGGTCCCGGAGGAGGGAGAGTTCAGAGAGCCCCACAGGCTGGCAGGGCTCTGGGGAGGGGCTGGCTCTTGCAGGGGCCTGGCCACTCCCACTTTACCAGGCTGGAGCCGCCGGGCCTCCGAAGTGTGGTCGAGGGTCATTGCAAACTAGCCCTGGGTTAAGGTGCAGGCTAAGCCCCAGGGTAGTGGAGTGGGTTGGCCGGAGCGGGTTTGGGGGAACGTCTGTAAGCCTCTCCCGTCCCAGGTCTAACGGAACAAGCGCTGGCTGCAGGGAGCTGAGTGCTGCAGGCAGGCGGTCGGGGGCCCCAGTCTTCCCTACACCCCGCCCCCCTCTCCCCGCAGGAACCAGCGCCGAATCCGCCCCGCTGAGACACTCACAGAGCCGCGCCTTCCCTCTTCTGCCCCTCCCCCAGCCCCTGGCTCAGGCCGCTGGCCCCGTCCCCAAGAGCCCAAAGTGCGCCCGGTCCATCCAGCTCTGGTTGCACCCTGGGTCCCAGCGCCGCCTCCCTCCCGCAAGCAGCCTGCGCACGCCGCGGATGTGGCCGTGCGGGACTGGCGGCCTGGGCGGACGTGGCTGCTGCCGACGCGCCCCCAGGCCGCAACCCCTGCGGCCTGGTCGACTCAGCCCCAGCCTCCCGGGATGACCCTCCGCCCTGGGGCCCAATCGGGGGTGGAGCAGGGCGGTTTGCGGTGACAGGATGTCCACGGAGAGGGGCCCCTGGGAGCTGGGCAGCTGGCCGCGCGGCCGCCTGCGCAAGTCGCGGGACGCCCAGCGGGTCTCCCCCCGGCGCGGGTCAGCCCGGCAATCTCACACGGCAGGACGCCGGCGGGGGGGCGCGAGGAGGCGCGCGAGCGCCGGCGAGGAGTCGTGACGTCATCGGCGGGCGCCGCGCGCCGGGCCGGAGGCGGAAGGACTGCGGCCGCGGGAGCCGAGACACGTGCGGGGCCTCCGGTCTGAAGCCGGCCCGGCGTCGCAGGTGGGACTCCGTGGGGCCCCGCGGCGGTGCGTGGGCGGGGGTCGTCCGGCGTGCCCGGCGCGTCCCCGCAGTCTCCCGTCGTCCGCCCGAGCCCGGTGCCAGCGCGGCCTAGCCCGCTCCCCTTCTGCTCGGGCCGGGCCGGTGCTGTGCGTCCGTTTTTAGCCTTCTGGGCGTCCCCAGCCTCTGCTCGTGGGACCCTGGCGTCTCCTGCATCCTCCTGCCACCGCCCGCCCGGAAGCCCGCCTTCGGGGAGGTTGAGCCCAGGGGTTTTCCGCTGAATGTAGTCTGTAGCGGAGGTGGCCTCTCACTGCCAGAGAATAGGTGCCTGGCCCCAGGAGAAGGGCGATGAGAGGGTCCGGTCCTGACTTTGTGGGAGTCCTTGCCGTTGCCTGGCCTCCATCTCTCTATCTGTAATGTGGGCTGATGGCTTCTGTCTCATGACCGAAACCAAGAAGGGCTTCAAATGTCGGCCCCGATTCAGCCTTATTGAGCTCCCCAGGCGGACAGTGCGAGGGCTTGAGCCACCCCCCCACCCCCACCCCACGGCTCAGTATCTGGGAGTCACCGTGCACAGCCTGCCTCCTGGGGCCTCTCCGCGCTCATGCCCCTGTACTTCCTCCCAGGTCCCTGACACCACCAGAGAGCAACACCATGAGCTTCGTGGCCTACGAAGAGCTCATCAAAGAGGGTGACACGGCCATCCTGTCCCTGGGCCATGGCGCAATGATGGCAGTGCGTGTGCAGCGTGGCGCACAGACCCAAACCCGGCACGGCGTCCTGAGGCACTCAGTAGACCTCATCGGCCGCCCTTTCGGCTCCAAGGTGACCTGCGGCCGAGGGGGCTGGGTGTACGTGCTGCACCCCACGCCGGAGCTCTGGACGCTGAACCTGCCGCACCGCACCCAGATTCTCTACTCCACCGACATCGCCCTGCTCACCATGATGCTGGAGCTGCGGCCTGGCTCTGTGGTTTGTGAATCTGGTGAGCTCTTCAGCATCGTGGGCTCCACCTCAGAGGTGGACGCGAAGGTGGAGGTCAGCTCAGCGTTCGGACAGTGTCCAGCAGGCCCTGCTGAAGACAGGCGCATTACTTGGTCTCTTTTAACAAGACCTTTCTGGGGAGCTTACTGCAGGGACTGAGGGCAGAGTTGAAGAAGTTGATTAGGATGCTGGTGCTCTAATCGGAGTGAGGGTTGATGGGAGTGGACCAAGGATGGGCCCCCAAGAGGTGGTGCCCAGTGCGGGGCCACCGTGCTGCTTGGTGCTGACCAGGGCACGCCATCCCCTAACCCTGAGATGCAGGGCAGAGGGTGGCTGGCCCAGCGTCCTGGATCATGCGAGGCACCACTTCCTGGAGGGTAGCCAGGCCCCTTCAAGGTGCTCAGGGCGTGTGGGGAGCCTGCCCCATGTACATCCCCAACCAGCATCCTTGTCGTGGGACCCAGGAGCTGGGGTGCAGGTGGAAGTGCCTGAAGGCCAGCCGCTCCCAGGCCTTTCCCATGCACAGCCACAGGCGCGGGGATGGTCGAGGCTGGAGACCGGGCGCAGGTGCCCAAAGCTCCCAGCATGTTCCTTATGGGCTGGACAGCAGGGGTCCAGGGTCTCGAGGAGTCCCCAGCCCCGCCACTGCCAGCTTTCTGAGGGCCTCCGGCCACGCTGTCCTTTTGTGGGTCGTGGTCTCTCCGTGTGGACATGGAGGCCTGTTGCCCAGGCAGACACTCGGAGCTGGGAAGTCGGGTGTGGGCCCAGGGCTCGGGGCCAGGGGTGGGTGGGCCGAGCGGAGGCTGAGTCCTCAGCACGCGGGCCCCTGGGCTGCCAGTGGCAGGTGGACAGCAGACCTCAGAGTCGGTTTCATCCCCTGCTGCCCCCTCGACCAGGTCCTTGCTCCACTCGAGTAAAAAGTGCTCAGTCGGTGGGCCCCTCTGGTGAGCCGGCTCCTTCCAGGAACTGGAGGGGCAGCCGTGGACGAGACAGGCCAGGCTTCTTCCGCCTCTCAGTGGGGCCGTTTCCCTGTGGTGGTAGCGTGAGGCCTGTAAGGCAGGACTGAGCATCCGAGGGCCACTCAGAGAAGGGTCCCTGGGTCTGGGGCAGGCAGACCCGCCTGCAGAGGGACGTTGGACTGGGGATGATGGGAGGAGGTGTCTGCCAAGAGCCGAGGGAGAGCGCCACCCCGAGGGGCACATGCAGAGGCCAGGGAGGGAGCTGGCTCAGCTTGGAGTGTCGTCGTTAGGAGTCTGACTCCACCCTGCGTGGAAGAGGATCTCTACCGGTTTGTGCAGAGTCAGCCCTGTCCAACGGCGGGTGTCGGGGCAGTTGCAAGCGGCCAGTCTGGTGGCTGTTGCAGAACCAGGAGAGGGGGGCCCAGGCGGACTGAGTGGGCAGGTGGAGATGAGACAAGCTGTGGTTCAGGAGAGATGTGGAAGGCGTGGCAGGAGTTCCTGGTGGATCTGTCGTGGGAGGGAGAGGAGAGAGTCAAGGACACCTCCCGGTGTCTGCCAAGCAGTGGGCGTGAGGGGTTGGGTTGGGGGAGGCTTGGCAGGAAGTGGACTCAGTGCTGAATCTGGTCCAGCTCTGCACTTGTCAGTGCTGAGCGCTGTTTGGGTGTCGCCGGGAGGCGGCGAGTGTGCAGTGGGTGCTAGGGAGGAGTCAAGCTGAGGAACGTGGCTCGGGGGGTTGTCATCGGGTAGGTGGCACCTGCCACTGTGGTCTGAGGGGACGCAGGCCCCAGCTGGGCGCCGCAGGACGGAAAGCAAGCGGAGGGGTGGCCTTCTGTGCTGGGCAGAGGCTCGGTGGTGACAGCGTGGCAGGGGGAGGCACTCTGTGGTGCCCAGCGTCACAGCGCCCCGAGGTGCAGCAAGGCGAGGGCAGAGGAAACCGGGAGGCAGAAAGACGGACCAGCCAGAGTAGCCTGAGCTTGGGGCCCGGGGACCATCCACTGCATGGAAGGCGACGGGGCAGGCCCCGGCCACTTGGTCTGTGCTACCCCAGCCCGTGGCAGAGCCCCGGCCCCGGGCCTGTGCAGCGGGGTTCGCTCCACACACTGGGACTGGGCAGGGCAGACACGTGCCCGGCCCCTGCCTGCCCGCCCGGCCCGAGGCCTAAGGGCAGCCGGGCCCGCGTGCAGCACACGCCTGATGCTCCCTGTAGCCTGCGCTGGCCGACCTGGTGGCCTCCTGGGCCCCTCTTAGGGCTCTTGGGGCTGTTTCCTGGGTGGGGCCAGGAGCCCGGCCTGACGCCCGCCCTGTCCCCCAGGCACCGGCAGCGGCTCCGTGTCCCACGCCATCATCCGCACCGTCGCGCCCACCGGCCACCTGCACACGGTGGAGTTCCACCAGCAGCGGGCAGAGAGGGCACGGGAGGAGTTCCGGGAGCACCGGGTGGGCCGCTGGGTGACCGTGCGCAACCAGGACGTGTGCCGCAGCGGCTTTGGCGTGAGGCACGTGGCGGACGCGGTCTTCCTGGACATCCCGTCGCCTTGGGAGGCTGTGGGCCACGCCTGGGATGCCCTCAAGGTTGAAGGTGCGTGGGGTTCTGGGAGGGTGTGCCCTGGGGGCTGAGCTGGGCTGGGCCCAGCCCGGCCCGGGTCATCTGAAGCCCAGAGAGGTCCTAAATCGCCGGGCCACGGGGCACGGGACCCCAGTTGGACCGGCCCGCGCCAGGGTGCCCTGGGCTGGCTGGGCGGCCTCAGGGAGGTTGCCGGTGAGCCAGCGGGGGTTGGAGGAGTCACATCGGTGAGAGTGGGCTCCAGCTGGGTGCCTGCAGGGTGGAAATGCCTCGGGCCCCTGGGGAACGTGGTAGCCCCTCCTGCGGGAGAAATGGCCCTGGCTGCCGGGTGTGCCAGAGGCCAGAGGCCAGCCCCTGACCCCAGCCGGTCCCTGCAGAGTCGCCCTTCCCTCCAGCCAGGAGTCAGGCACGCCGGTCCCTTTTAGGGAAGAAGTTGGTGTGGAGGCGGAAAGAGGGCTCCAAGCCAGGGAGGCCTGGCTGGGCTCTGGGTTTTTCCCTTTTCTGGAGAAGGAGCCGACAGGGCAGCAGCCCCCTCCCTCCTCCTAGTTGAGCCTGTAGCAGGGGGAGGGGCTGCCCCTCGGAGAGCAGATGCCCTGTGGCTCCCACAGCAAGGCAGTGACCAGTGGGTCCCCCGCCAGCTGGCTCAGGCGCACCCTGGACTCCGGGTCCCTGGTCTCTGCCGAGGTGACTGGGGCTGGGGAGGGGGGCAGCCCCCGCTCCCCTACATCTCTGCTCTCTCTGGCTTTGCCCTGACACCGGTGCCCCTCCCTACCTGCTGCTCTGGGGGCGCTAGTGGGCTTCGGCCCCAGGCCCAGGGAGGCCAAAGCCGGCTACCCTGCCCCGGCCAAGCCTGGGCTGCCCGCTCAGCAGCCTCTTCTTGCTGCCGAGACTCCTCGCTGGTCGCTGGCCTGGGGAGCTGTGCCATCTGCTGTACCCGTTCTCCTTGTCCCTCTCAGCCCCTCCTCTGGGCTCTCTTTGTTCTCTGGATCTGTTTGTTTGGGCCTGAGATTCTTGACTCGCTCGCTTGTGGGTCTGCGTTTTCTGGCGGTTTCCAGCAGCTCGCCCGCCTGCTGTGATCCGGCCCAGCGAGGTGCAGCCCCCGAGTCTCTGGGCCTCTGGCTGTCCAGCAGCCTCAGGCCCTGGCCTGCTGAGGCCTCAGCTTCCCTGGCAACATACACGGGGGCAGGGCCCCGTCTTGGGGGTGACACTGTGCCCTCTCAGTGTTGGCGCCAAGCAGCACGGGCCTCCTCCAAGCCCAGACCGCCCTGCAGCCCTGAGGGTGAGGGCTGTGGGGACGGGCCTCCCGGGCCATTGAGGGCTGGCCAGGCCACGTCCCTTCCCTACCCTGGCGCCCTGAACCTTCCCTGCCAGGTTTGGGACCTGGGCTGGCACTGGGCCAGGCTGAGGGGCACAGTGGGCACCCCTGGTGGGAGGTAGCAGGGAGAGGCTGTCTGCCCCGCCCCCACCTCGTCACCCTCAGCCCTGCTGCCCTGCTACCCTGCTCAGAGGCGGCGCCTCCAGGGGCAGGGGCAGCCTCTGGTCTCCTGGGACGGCAGAGCCCTCGGGCCCCATGTGTGCCCCCGCCCCCGCCCTGCAGCCTGTGCCTTCCAGCTGACTGGTTAGAGTTGTGTGGTTAGAGCCGTCTGGTTAGAGCTGTGTGGTTGGGGCTGACTGGTTAGAGCTGTGTGGTTGGGGCTGACTGGTTAGAGCTGTGTGGTTAGAGCTGTGTGGTTAGGGCTGAGTGGTTAGAGATGTCTGGTTAGAGCCGTCTGGTTTGGGTTGAGTGACGAGGGCCGTGCGGTCAGAGCTGTTCTGGGCCCAGCAAGCTGGCAACTGTGCTGTCAAGGCTCTACCCAACCCCACCCAACCTTCTCCCTGGCCCCTGACCTCTGGCCGCTGCCCTTTGTGGGAGAGGGAGTGCACGGCCCGCCTCAGACCCCAGGGCCGGCCCAGCCTCTACCCTCCTCTCTCTCAGAGGGGCTCTTGTTACCAGAATCCCCGCCTGGCAGGCGAGGTGCCGGCAGGCCCCCGCCGCTGACACCCGGCCTGCTCCCCGCAGGCGGGCGCTTCTGCTCCTTCTCACCGTGCATCGAGCAGGTGCAGCGCACGTGCCAGGCGCTCGCGGCCAGAGGCTTCCTGGAGCTGAGCACCCTGGAGGTGCTGCCGCAGGTGTACAACGTGCGCACCGTCAGCCTGCCCGCACCGGACCTGGGAGCCGGCCCTGGCCCCGATGCCAGCCCCTTCCGCAGCGGCACGCCCATGAAGGAGACCGTGGGCCACACTGGCTACCTGACCTTCGCCACCAAGACCCCGGACTAGCAGGCTGCCCACGGGAGCTCCAGGAGCCGGGAGCACGCAGGCCCAGGCAGGAGGCGCAGCCTGCTGCAGGCTGCCATATACGGTTGGCAGACGCCTGCCGGGCCTGTGTGTGGACAGCCGGTGGGGTGAGGGGACCTGGGGGCCTGAAGGAGGCGGCCAGCCCGAGGCCTCAGGGCCCCTTGGGAGGGCGGCCTCTGCCTCCTCTCCGTTGTGCCCAGCATCCCTGTCCTCTGCTCATTGCCACGTGACGTTCCCACGACCACAGGCTTCTCTGAATGCTGGGGCCCAGGTCTCATGCCTTCCCAGGTGTCCCTCATGGGGAGGGAGGCGGGTGAGCAGGGACTTGAGGGGAGCGGCCCAGGGCCTGGTGCTGCAACGGGCCCGGGACCCCCAAGGCCCAGCCACTGAGCCCGGTCTGGGGGCCAGCCCGCCAGGGGTCGGCCCTGCCCTGGCCCCTCGGCCTCCATCCCCGGTGCTGGCGGGGCCAGGTTGGCCCAGTGCCCAGGGAGAGGCGACCCCGCTGCATTCCCTGCGGCATGACCAGTTCCAGGGGGCCACCACATGCCCCTCCTGCCCAAAGGGCAGCCCCGCCCCCCCGCTGCACCCCCCTCTCCTGCTGGGAGGACAGGCAGCTTCGGCGGGGGGGGGGGGGCACACCTGGGACAGAGGGCAGGATACGGGGGGCACACATGACCAGCCCCCAGCTCTGGGCTGTGGGTCCGGCACCCCCACCACCGTGTGTGACGGGCCTGGGCTTCAGCCCCCCGACCTGGGACGAGGGGTCTGGGGCGCCACGCTGGCCCCGACCCGCCTGGTGGAGAAATAAACACTGTTGCCCTGCATGCTGCCTCGTCTCTGGTGCCCCAGGAGGCCAGAGCCCTGCCCCCGGGGCAGCGCCCAGGCTGGACCCCCTGCACGCGGCCCTGGCCCCCGCTCCCTCTCCTGTCCCACAGCAGGCGCCCCAGAGCTCCAGGCTGCAGGGTGAGGCCTCGGGCGGGGGACTGGGACAAAGGGGCGAGTGTGTGGCCTCCCCCATCCGGCTGCAGAAAGGGCCACTTGTCCCTGGGACGGGTGGGGGAAGAGGGAGGAGAGCGCGTGTGTGTGCTAGCGAGCGGATTATGACCCGCGGTCCCTGGGCTCCGGGTGCCCCCGCCCCCCACAGCCGGGCCTCCGCCACAGTGCAGCGGCGTGCTGCCGCGCGTGCTCCCTGAAGGGCCCTGAACTCATGAGGGGCCCCAAGGCCTGTTACCTTGGCCCGAGGCCACCCCAGGTTTTGTGGGTCCTTGGAGGGCGGGCCTGCAGGAGAACCGGTCTCCTTGTGCCAGTGTCCCTGAGGCTGGGAGCTCTCCTGCTCCCCTCCTGTGCAGCCTCCTGGGGAGACTTGTCCTCTCAGAATCCCTCCGCGCCCCTGGAACCAGCCACCCTGCCCCAGGCCTCTTCCCACTTTTGCAGACAGAACGCCCAGCCTAGGGGACGGGAGGGACGGGGGCCTCAGGCCTCCCCCGGGCCTTAGGGCAAGGCCTGCGGGGTATCTGCTGCTGGCGGCCTCTCCAGGGTCTGCAGAGCTCACGAGCGGCGTCCTGTGCCTCCTTCAGGGCGCTTCTCAAACAGCCTTTCCGCGCCTCCCGCCACCCACCCCTGGGCAGGGGCGCCCTGCTCAGCCACCGTCTGCCCGTACGGGTCCCTCCATCCTAGGAGCCCCTGCAGGCAGCGGAGCTGGGCCCAGCCACTCCCCAGTTCTGCAGGTGGACAGCCTGATGTCCAGAGGGCCAGTGAGCGAGCATCACACCAGTGACCGAGTCAGCCGCATGGGGCCGGTCACAGGGCAAGGACTCAGCTGGCAACTCCCCTGCCCCCGCAGACACTCGGGGGCCTCAGTTTTTCCTTGGAAATCCCCACTGCCCCACCCTGCTGAGCAGCTGACAGCACGTCCAGCTCCCGCCCTTTGCGGCCCGCAGAGACCAGCTCCATGGCCGCAGGCGGGACCCCACCCCAGGCCAGGCTTGGAGCTCGCCTGCCAGGAGGGCGCCAGCCCCCGCCTCCCCAGGAAGCCCCGCCCTGGCCTGGCCAGTCCTGGGCCCACCAGTGCCCTCCGCCCCGTGCTGCCCGCCTGCCTGCTCTCCAGGCGATCTACCTCCTGCCTCCAGCTTGTGGGGCGAGGGCCCCTCCTGCCCACCCCAGCCCCTGCACAGAAGAGGAAGCTGAGGCTCAGAGGAGATAGGACGCGACACACTGGGCTCCAGGCCCCCCGCCCCCTGACCTCCCAGATCACAGTCCCCTGCCCTGCGTGTTCCCCTGGGGCGCGACCCAGGCCTGGGGGCGGGGGCAGAGCTCCGCTGTCCTGCAGGAAGGGTCAGAAGAGGTGACGCTGCGCAGGGTCCAGAGGGGCTGCTGGAAGTTGGTGGAGGGCCCGCAGGAGGCCTTCCCGCACGGGGGTGGGCGGCCAGCCTGGGGAAGGAGCGCCCGCCTGTCCTGTCTGCAAGGCCACTAGGCACAGGCTGGCCACTGGACCAGCGCCCCCCTCTGCCCGGGGGCTGGTGGGCTCGCTGCCGGCCAGGGCGTGCCCGTCTCCCCTAGGGCTCCCTGCTGGGGGCTGGTTTTCCTCACCCTCAGGGCTCCACGCAGCACCCGGGGGAGGCCTGAGGCCCCCGTCCCTCCCCCGTCCCCTAGGCTGGGCGTTCGGTCTGCAAAAGTGGGAAGAGGCCTGGGGCAGGGTGGCTGGTTCCAGGGGCGCGGAGGGGCTCTGAGAGGACAAGTCTTCCCAGGAGGCTGAGCATCCTCGAGGGCCGGGCCCTCCTGGCGCCGAGGGTCCAGCGGGCCAGGGAAGTCTGGCCTGAGGGGCCCTGGGGGACCAGGCACAGTCGGGGGCAAGTGCAGGGTGGGGGGAGCAAAGCCAGGAGGGGCTGGGCCCCGTGCCGGGAGGGATCCAGGCGGGGGTCCCTCAGTCACAGGAGGAGGGTGATGGGGCGGGGAGCGTGTGAGCACGGGAGGGCCCGGGCTCTGGGTCTGCCCGGTCACAGCCTCGTCCTCGGGGCGGGGGGGGGTGGGGGTGACACGCAGCACCGCGTCACCCACGGGTGCGCTCACAGGCTGTCTCCGATCGTCTGTGGGGCCAGAGCTGCCCCCGCCGCCTCAGGAAGCCCCCGTCCACGGCAGGAGCCAAGGCCAGAATTTGGGGGCCACTTCTGGGTCCATATGACAGTATCTTTGTGCTTTGAGGCACTTGAATAGCCTCTTGCTTCGGGGGTGTGTGCATAGTTTGCCAGGGAGAGGAGGCTGGGCTTCAGCCCTTTGTGGCACGTGCAGGTCGGCTGTCACTGTGTTCGGTGGGTTGCCCTCGGCAGGGCGCGGCCGGGGCGCGGCCGCCGACCTCACAGCTTCCGGGGCAGCTGCATCCGTGAGCTGTCCCCGCAGACGTGCCGAGTCACAAGGACACCCCACCCGCCCCCAACCACAACTGCGAGGCCTGCAGTGGCCGTCGGAGCCGTGGCTTGGCGGCTCTCGGCCCTCCTCAGCCAGGCCCGTTCACGAGTGGGGACAGAGCAGATGGAGGGTCCCCTTCCGGACAGACGGTGGGCACACCCTCTCGTGTCCTCCATTCACATGTCAAGGGCGAGCCCTGTCGTGGGGCCATTTTTCAAGCCTTTGCTCAGGTGGCCTAACCTCACGTCGGGCTAGAGAGACCCTGAGGCTTAGGGAGGGGCCATGTGGCCACAGGCACGGGGTGGGTGCGGCGACCCTTCTCTGCCCCGGTGGGTGAGGCGCACGGGGTCCTCCGCGGGCAGGCAGGGACCGCGGGGCCTTGCCAGCCCGGCCATCCCCCCGGCTGCATCTCTGCGCCCCAGCGGAGGGCACTTCAAAGTCAGGCAGCCTGCGGAGGGCGGCATCGCCGGGGGGAATTACTCAGCTCCCACCAGGCCAAGAATAGCTCGGAACTGGGTCACTCTAGCAGAGCGCCGGTCACAGCCTCCAGCCTTTGAGGACAATCGGCTTTCTCCCGGCCCCTGTCCCTTTGAAGAGGGGCAGGCCAGGAGTGGACACAGCTTTAGAGGGTGGGGACGGGGAGGGGGGTGTGTGAATGGCTGTCCTTCCGTCCCCCCCCGTTTCCTTTGTGCTCCCTGCCCGGCTGGCAGCTGCCCCGCCCGCAGCCGGGACCCGCCAGCCCCCACGCACAGGCCCGGCGGGGTGCTGGCCGCTGCCGTGCCCCCCACGGGCAAGGCTCGCTGGCCTGGCTCAGCCGGGCGGGGGTGCTCCCCTCCGTCGCCCTCCTGCCAACCCGCCGACCTTGCCCTTGACCTCCTATGTCCCTCGGGCCCAACGCCTCCACCCAGGTCCCTTCCTCTCAGTTCCTCCTGGGTGCTCCTTCCTTCGACGGCGGGTCAAGGCGGTGGCACAGGTGGGCCAGCCCACCCCTTCGAGGACCTCCCACCCCTCCAAACCTGAAGCCTCACTGTCCAGCCACCCTCACCTTCCCCACCGACTCCACGGGGGGTGCAGCCCTGCCCCCGCCACACACACAAAACCTCCTGCGCCAGCCCCCGCGCTCGGCACAGGGGAGCCCTCTGGGTCCCCGTCCTCAGCCTGGGGCCCTCCTCCCAGCCCGCCCCACACAGCCAACGGGACCTTGGGTCCAGGAGCCCCAGGGATGGACAGAGAGAGACCACTGTGTCCTGGGGCACGATGTGGAGCCAGGCCCCTCACTGTGGGAGCCCCAACACGTGCTCTGGGAACAGGAGGTGCTGGGTGGCCTTTTGACAGGATCCGAGGCCGGGCACTCCCCCATTTCCCGTCTCCATAGCAACATCACTGTGCTGGGGCACCCCCCAACCCCCCACTGCCAGGCTGACTCCCTCCTGGGAGGCAGGCGTGTCCTCCCTCTGTCTGGCCCCCTGGCCTCCGCTGGCAGCCCTCGCAGCCCCCAGAGGCGACCCCGGCCAGGGCCGCTGGCGCCAGTCCTGCACAGGGCTCTTGGCGCCACGGCTAGAGGACAGCTCACCTGCCGGCCGCCCTCCCAGGGACGCGGGCCACACTCGATGGGGTCCCCGGGCAGCAGGGCCCCCCTCTCCAGGGGGCTGCTTGGGAGCCAGACCTGATCAGAAGGCGCGTTTTAGGCGGATCCCCAAAGGGAGAAGCGGAGACGCGCCGGGTCAGCCAGACTCTGTCCCTCCTGCCGCTAGGAGGCTCAGAGCCATCTGCCGCCCGTTGGCAGTGTCCCGCCTCAATTCCCACTGCTTTTGCCAATGTCTCACCCTCCTCCTGCCCCCGGTGGCCTGAGGGGTGATGTCACAGGTCCCTGCAGCCCACATGAAGCTATTACCTGGGTACGCTGCCACCAAGTGGTGCATTAGGGCCCCAAAGCCGTCCTTGTGACGGTACTGTGACTGCCTCCTGCCCAGCGGCCTGAGCTCCCCCACGCGTGCCCCGGGCACTGTTCGGGGCTCTTTAATCTTCACGAACCCAGAAGGTGGATCCGTCCCAGGTGACAGACCCGCCCGTTCCTAAGCCTTCGCCGCAGGCATGTTCATGCCAGGCAG